TAGAAATTTATATATATTTTAAAATATTACTCAGTTTTCATTTTAAAATATTCATTTTAGATTTTGGATTAGATTACATATAATTTTTATCTTAAAAAACACTAAAGCATTCAGATTTGCATGAAATTCCTAATAAATTCTTCCTCAACCTGCAATGTTCAAAATTCAGAGCTACAATGGCTAAATTCTAGAAGTTGCTGTCTGAACGAGTGAAACCAGATTAAAGAAGACCACTGTATTATAGTTTATTATCTTATTATAATTCAGCATGAACTATAATGAACTATATAAGCAGCCTTAAAAAGATATAAGAGGAGCTACGTGACTTATGCCTATAATCTTTTTTTAAAGATTTCAGATGCATTCATGGCCTCAGCACATCAAGACTTATTATAAATGTAATAATTCCTGATGTATTGAGCCATGAATGCATTATTATTACGTTTATAACAAAATCTGGATAGCTGAGTCTATAATTGCAATGACGAAGAATCAAACATCTCTATGAATAGAATAACCTTTTTAAAAAGGCTCTAAAATTGACCATCTGGGACAAGTGAATTTATCTAATCACATTACTGAGGATCCAACAGCCATATAAATTCATAGTACTGCAAATTTAAACAGAAGATTTAAATATACCACCATCTGTCTTTGAAAAATAGGAATATCACTGCTATGGTGAATATATTGATATCTGAGAAAGAAGATCTGTTAACCTCTGTTAACTGTATACACTGTCTCAGATAAACAGAGTCAATTGTGGACAGACAATTGGAAGGAAGGAAAAGAAAAATAGTACTTTAAGATGCTCTACAAGTGTTTCAACAATTTTCAAAAATATTTTAGCAGAACCTCAAATATTTTTATTTACCTCAACTTTACATCCTGGATCATAAGTAGCAGCAGCAAAATAAACTACCTCCTGAACTTCATCACGAGGACGTGCAGAATTTTTCCCAACTACTACACGGCCATCTTTAGTAGATGGTGGAAATGCAACAAAACAGTAGCTGGGAGGTGCCACATCCATCCTAAAACATAAAAGGTAGAATTAGATATTAAAAACATGAACTTGTCTTATTTCAGGGTTGGAACCTGGAGCTAGAACTGGCTATACAAATCCAGATACAGATTTTTTTTACTTAAAACTATTTATTTAATAACTGCATATAACCTTTAACTAATCATGATTGGTTTGATGGATATGCAAATTATCATTTTCTAGCTTTAAAAGGAATTAGCATATAAAAACGTAGGGCACAATTCAGCTTTATTGATATCAAATCATTATGTATGCTTGGATAATCTATTCCAAGATAAAATACCTGTATCACTTTTGATGTATGTCATACCAAACAAGACAATAGCCAGAAAACAAACTCTCATTCCTTTAAGACTAATGAAGTAATAACTTGCAAGAAATTTCTCACTTCAAGAGCATCTTGATGTATATTCACTTCAAGGGCAATTGACTGTATACAGTATACAGTAATGCTATTTTTTCCACTGTTTGTTCAGTCGTTACAATAACAATATGCTAAATATATACAGTATGCTGAAATATAGTTTTGATTAATATGGAAGTGTATTAATCTGTATCAGCTCAACTCACTCTGAAAAGATAAGCCCCAAATGGAGTTTGTAACTAAGGTTGTCTTCAGGAATGGAATGGAAGGGGATAGGTGCTAACTTCAAGCTGAATTAAGGACCTGCTACTGCAAGAAATGAACAAAAAAAAATTCTCTAAATTTTACCTGTAATCCAAGGCTGTTTACAGGCTTTCAAGAAACACGTAAAAGGTATGTGCTATGAAGCAGGGACAGTTGGCAAATCTCCAACTCCTGCTTCGTTCTTGGGGTACAGCTGATGCCATGGGTTTTAAATATCTTATAAAGACTGATTCTTAAGCAGAATTTCTTTGTAGTTGAGTTTTATTTTAAGATAAGGAAGTGCCAGACTTGCACAATTTTTGCACACATTTATAGCAATAGAAATAGGCCAGCACACTGTGTAATAGTTCACACTGAAACAAGCAAGAAGGGGGAGAAGTTGTCTGCCAGCCAGCTTTTGTTTCAAATGGGTCAGCCATCAATTTTGGGTGCAAATACAGTCACTAGGAAACAGCCTCAAGGAGTGTGGGAAAATCAGGCTGGCTTTGCAATTTCACTGAACTGAAAAAAATGGGGGATTGCTAGTTTTTCTGACTTATTAATCTAAAGCTTTGATTCCATGAAACATGTTCAGGATGCTCCCAATTGCACGTCATAGGTTGGGAAACTCAGCTTAATTGAATTGGTGGCCTGCTTTCCTTGAGTTCTGATCATGATCCTTTTTTTTAGCATTTCTTCAAAGGTTCAGATCTAATGGCCCATATTTTCAGGCAGCCATTTCTATGGCACCTCCACTCCTTCCCCTCCCACTTTTTTCTTGCTTTTAAATTAACAGAAGCAGACAGATAGCAGCATATATTGTACAGGGTAAATATGCTCAGTAAAAAAATAAATAGCATCCTCCTCCATTATGTCAGGAGAAATGCCAATACAAACACTATGATAGGGATAATGTATCTTTATTAAATAAGCATATTTTAAAAAGATGGTAATATGTTTCTGGCTACTTTATACACAGTACTCCAAAACAGGTTTCACAATAATTTTAGAAGTACATACAGCATACTTGTCAAATTGTTCAACCCTACTTCACAGCAAGAACACCCGTCTTCTAGAATCTCGGTATCTCTGTACCTATAACTGTAGTACTCTTAGTAGTTGCCCAGAAGCAGTTCTGACTGACCTCCCTTTATTGAAAAAAAGAGGGCATTTCTGATACCCTCCCTCCCTACCCTCTGTGTCACATCTCAGCTGTAAAACTCCTGATTAAAGCCAGGGGTAGATAACCTTGGCTCTTTTATGACTCGTGGACTTCAACTCCCAGAATTCCTGAGCCAGCCATGCTGAGGAGAAAGGGAGAGTTTCCAAGCTGAGCCATGCTGGTTCAGGAATTCTGGGAGTTGAAGTCCACGAGTCATAACAGAACCAAGGTTGCCTACCCCTGTGCCAGGCCAACATTCTGCCCTCTGGTGGTTTTCTTTATCACCTACATATTTTCCTAAGTTGGTTAGAGCATTAATTTACAAATAGTAAAAAGTGTCATAAGTCACTTTTTTCAGTGACATTGTAACTTTGAGTAGTCACTATATGAATTGTTGTAAGTCAAGAACCATCTATATTGAAGCGTTATTCATTTCAGCTGACAAATGGTTCCTCATAGTAGATGTTCAAAACTTTTTTTTCTCCACTGGAATGCAGTAGGGAAGATCCTGCTGGCAATATCATTTTCTTTCCCCAATACCACTTCTCCCTTGCTTCCACCCATTCTTTTGTGTTCCTTGGGTGGAGAGAAATCTGAGCCAACCACATACAAAAGCATTTTGAAAGCATCTTCCATATATCTTTTCTGCAACACTTATTGATTTGGGATATTCCAGAGAAGTGGTGGATAGGCAGGGAGTTCTATCAGTTTCCCTTTGTATCCAAGTGATTGGAAGGATTGCCCTACCAGTTGGATGAGAAAATGATGGGTGGCTTATTTTAATCAGTCCTCTAGTGAAACCTTTCCTTTTTTGTCTAGTTTATATAAATAAAATGAAATAGTGCCATGTTCCATACTCCACTGCCCTTTTGGATATTCATGGGTTTACTTCCACTGATACCCCACTTGCTGCCATCATTCCCTTGAAACACCTATTGATTTGGAATATTTGGGACCATGAGTGAAATTGATGAGAGTTTTGACAATTTCTCCTTCAAGCCAATGAAAAGAGAAAAAGTGAAACAGTAAAATACTTTCTCCCTGAATTTGACTACAGTGTGCCAATTTTCTAGCTCAAGTGACAGCAGAACATAAAATGGGTTTCCTCAACTGGTCCACTATCAAAATGCTTCTCTGAGCAAGCAGCTCCTGCACTGAACAGGGGAATTGCATGAAGGACCTCTAAAGTTCTTTCAGATTCTTGGATTCTATGATGTTAGTCTTGTTTGCAGATTAAAACTGTATTTCCTCAAAGACTTGCTCACAGAAAAGGAAGTTATTAGTTTCCTGGCATGGATGGGAAGAATAAAGAAGCAGGTAACTTCACCAACCAGAGGATGAAGTAACTGCCATCCAGACAAACCACCTGGCCAACACTGTTGGTATAGCTTTAAATTCCAATTTCTTAATCTGGATTCATTCCTAGCCAGTATCAACATAAACAGCAACAGCTTATGGCTGCCACGCAGAATGCCTTTATACACATCAAATATTTCCAAAGAACTGTTGTATGTAACCTAGAAGGTAAATATGAAAGGAAATTTCCCACACTCTCCAGAAATTTTGGAGCTGTATATTTGATTTTGCAGAAATACATTTTCAAGCTGATACTTTGTATCCTTATAAATCTGCCTCTGGATGTAAGAGAATTGTTGCTGAACAACAGAATAGTTCTATATTTTCTGATGGTTTGAAAAACACTGGACAGTTGCTTTAAAGGCATTAGTAGTAACTACTACATTTCACTATTCCAAAGAGCAGAAAATAATCAAGCAGTATATGTAAATCAATAGGGGCAACAATTCCAAAGTTATTTTGAGTTAATAGTTTAATAATAATATCAAAAATGTTCCAAAAAAATAAAGAGATCCTGGTCTATAACAACATAGTTAGGGACTATGTACTTTTCTATTACAAATTTCTACATATTATTATTGCAGTAATCTCTTCTATCCTTTACCCCACCATTTTGTATGAGGATTCAAAAAAAAAGACACACCCATCCTCATTCACTATTTATGCACAAGGATTCAATTGGCAGATTAATAAGAGATATAGAATATGATGTGATGGGGTGGGGTGGAATGGAATGGAATGGAATAGAATAGAATAGAATTTAAATGTTTTATAAAGACTTGGCCAACCTTGCCTTTCTTAGCATCACTATCAAAATATGACATATCAGAGACCTTTGACTGACTTTTTCAAAATAGGACACTGAGATGAGCATCATGCAGAAATAATGCAACACATGGCATGCAATGTACTTATTTATTTTCCCACTCAAAATTTTATTATTTTTAATAATTTTTAATTATTTATTATAATTTATTATCATCTGCAATCCAGCTGATTTAGAAGAGAAGTAGGAACCAAGATGATTAATCCGTCACAAAGTGATTACACATCAGTACTGCAAAGCTATGAATGTTACTGTTCGACGGTTTAGAAAAGCAATATTTCTCTTTCCATATTCTCAATGCTATTATCAAGAACGTACTATGTGTGAAAATATTAGATTAGCTGATCAATGATTCAAACAAAGGCCTTCTTCAGCACAGAAACTGTACTTGCAGAATTGGTCCAGGGATTATACTGTGGGCTTATGGGTACTTTGCTACTAACCTATGACCCCTTCCAAGAATCCTCAGAGATCTTGTATGGATGCACAGATAGAAGGACTAGGAAACACAGTTGAAATCTTGTATCCCACGCTGATCTAAGAACTGTAACAAACATTTGAGTAGATGTTTTCTATAATACAAATCAAAAAACATGTCTACAAATATATTAGAAAAGAAAAAAGTTGTGCAGAGAAATGTTAGTGGCACTCCCTATTAGTTCAGTCAGGCAACTGACAAAAATAGACAAGACTTACACAATAGAACAAATTCTTTTAAATAGGTAGATAAGATATAGATAAGCAATGTTCTGGACAATTCAAATGCCAAAAGACTGAGGAAAAAAATGCTTTTAGCAAAACTAATCAGTTATTAAATAACATTAAAGATTGCAATCTTTAATCTACACTTCATTCATTACATGTCTGCAGTAAAAGGAAAGGTTGCTTCTTTAAATACAAAAGTTTGGACTTTATTGCTCATAATTTTAGATTGTATCTAGCAGTTTGTAAATTACAGCAAAGGTTCTGTTCCTCACTATTATTACTATTATTTAAAGGCAGTCAACTTAAAGTGAGACAGTAAAAATTCTTCAGATGATATACATATACATATCCTTCGGATTATACATACACATATACACTTAGCAGGTAGTCATATAACACCACTTTAGTCTCCTTAAAGCTAAGTCATACTTATAAATGAAAGAGAGAGATAGAGCTCATTTAACATTATGTATGATGAATTAACTGATTCTAGTTCTATCAGCAGTCAAAATCATCTAGCTATTTAACACATAATTAAATGGGCATACTGTAATAAGTAGCTACAGTATCTTTTATTTCAACACACCCACTGTTCATCTAAATTATACACAATCTGTAATTTATTCTAGTAACAAGTAAACTCTAGAGAACATGTTGGATTGTTATTTTTTTGCTATTATTCTTTTATCAAATTGGTGCATTCCAGATGTGTTAAGACTATAATACTTAAAAGTCCCAGCCAATGGGGCCAAAACTGGAGGATAATAATGGAGTTGTCATTCCAACATATTTAGGCTGGAAGGCTGGAAAAGGCCTGTAAAGCTTCAGAGAGTCCAATTTTATATTTTATCCAACTTTATATTGCTCACACTATACTGTGGAGCATAATGTGATCTGATATTTGCGTGACAGAAAAATATTTCCATGCATAGTCATACAGGTCGCACTAAACCATGATTTGTTTGGCCCTGGTTCAGTACCTTAAGAAAAACTATGGGGATTGGTCCATCAAACCACACAGAACAGAATACAGACCCAAATCAGTGAGTTCTGACAATACTCCAAGCCAAATTTTTAAAAAAACAACCACCTGTTTAGCCCAATGCATGAACCCAACCTAATGCTAACCCTGATCAGTGATGAGCTACAACATCATATAATGGGTCAATGCATTGAAGTAGCCATTGTGGATCACAGATCATTGGCCAAAGCTTTTAAAATCACTTTTTGCTGGTGACCATCTTCACATCCTCTTGCAAAAACAATCATCCACTATGCTATGGCATCATTATTCTAAAAGCTCTAAAGCTCCTTTTGATTTTCTGGGGTTTTATTCTAGTAAAAACATCCACAAGGAAGGAAAGAGGGCAGCCTTGTCGATCCCCCCCCCCCCCACACACACACGGATCCGATTGCAAAAGAGAGGAAGGGGGGAGACAAGCCAAGAGGGCGACCTGTAGTCGCGAGAATCCCTGGGGCGATTTAGGCTGGCGCTGACGGCACATCCCAAGGCGCTCCGCCGCTCGGAGCCTCTGGGCTCTTAAGGGATGAAAGGGAGGACGGCTGAAAGCGTCCACAGGCGATGGGCAGCAGCGGGCATGCCCTTGGACACCCAGCTGGCATGGCAGAGCATCCTTCCTCCCTCATTCGGCAAGGAAGGAGATGAGACTCACCTTCGAGACGCTTCCCCGAGGATCTTCCTGCTTCTCTTTTTGAGGACGCCAGGAGAAAAGAGAGACGCTGCCTCGGCTCCAGGTAACAGCCAGGCTCCCACTCACGTGAACAACCCGCTAGCAGCACAGGGCAGAGGGAGGGAGGGAGAGAGAGGGAGGGCAGGCAGGCATCAGCTACTGCTCGGCCAACTCACCACTCGGTGGCGGCGCCTTTGTCGCAGCCGCTGACGCTCCGTCTTCCCTGCGTTGGGCTCAGACGGCGGCGGGGCTGCTGCGGCGAGACTAAGGCGGGCAACAGCAGGAGGCGGGGATTAGAGCTCTTTCTGCCAGACAGCGGCGGAGGGGGCACCTACGAAACATCGGCCTCGCCCAGGGTGCGGAACCTGAGCGCCGCGTTTCTGAGCATGAACCAAGTGACATCTCAAATCAAGCGGCCTTGAGTGCCGCGTAAATAAGAGGGAAAGATAGATATCATATGGTAACATTATTTCACTCTCTTTCCTAGCCCTCCATCCCAAGGTTCAGGAAAGCTATGAAAGCTGGGGTTGGTGTTAATGATCTGTCTAAAGCCCGTTTTGTTTTGGTGATTTTGTTGTTTATCAGATTATTTTAGTCTGGACTGCCAGTCAGATTTTTATGTATTTAGTTGTTTTGTTTTGTTTTTAGTTTTATATCCTACCAGAGCAATAAATAAATAAATATTAACAAAATAATCTGAAGAATTATGATTGTGATGGGAGAGATAAAGCAAATATGTTGGAAGAGGCAAATGTGTTAAGTTGGAGGCTGTGGAGTGGGCTAATTCATAGTTCCATATTAGACTTCCACCACACTGAGTGAGAAAATGTGGTCGAGGCAGCTATGTGTCTCCATCACAAAACTTAAACCCTTATTGCTATGTTGCAAGAACATCTAGTTTTTATAACTGTGATAGCAAAAGAATCCAGGTCAGCAGGTGGAAAATACTTGATTGGTCAAATGCTGTGGGATCTGCTTTGAAATGTTACAGTGCATTTCCTGTGCTGCGCCATTTCAGCCAGTTACACTCTTTTCTAGGGTTCCATTCCCATTTTAATAGCATTTTCAGACCACCCAGGCTGCTCCCATATTTATTGAGTGGGTTTGAGGGATTTTCCTATAAAGCGTTTTTGAGATTCCCTAAACCTGCTGACGGCTTTCCTTGTTTTTTGACTATGTCAGATAATTTGATCTATTATAATGTACTCTACATGGGGTTGCTCTTGAAGAGTATCTGGAAACTTCAGTTGGTTCAAAATGCAGTTTTGCACAAGCCTAGATTTGCACTTCTCATCTTGCAGTTTTGAGGGAACTGCATTGGTTGCCAATTTGCTTTAGGTGCAATTTAAGATGCTGGTTATCACCTTTAAAAATAAATCCCGTGTTATTTTATTTGAAGGACCACTTCTCCCCAGTGGCATCTACCCAGCCCATTAGAGTGAAAAGCAAGGCATTTTGCAGGTCCTATCCATTAAGAAAATACAATTGGTCAGACCAAGAAAATGGGCCTTCTCAGTGGTGGCTTCTTTCCTTCTTTCCAATTGTGGACTTACGACCACAATTGAACCCAAAATTTATGGTGCTTAGTCAGAAATTTGTTAAGTGAGTTTTACCCTACTTTACAACTTTCTTGCTATATTTATTTTTCAAAATAGAGATCAACAGATTTGGAAGGCAAATAAAATAGCTTGAGTTCAATTGGCAATTGAACTCCAATTCAAAAGAACTGTACAAACTGTACTTGATTTATATAGAAAAGAAAAAATCTTACTAAGTTACAATTATGGGATCTATTGGGTTTTAAGTTACCGTATTTATTGGCGTATAACACGCACTTTTTCCCCCTGAAAATAGGGGGCAAATGATGTGTGCGTGTTATACGCCGATATAAGCTCTCCGCCGCCCGGCCCCACCTCGGCCCGGGCAGCCACGGCCCTTCCCCGTCCTCCTGCTGCCGCTGCCGCCGCGGCCCTTCG